TTTGGAAAGTGGGGAAAGTTGAATCAAGATACATCAGACCATTCGAGATCCTTGCCAGGATCGGTTCGGTGGCTTACAAGCTGCAGCTACCGCCAGAGCTCAACAACGTACACCCGGTCTTTCATGTGTCAAACTTGAAGAAATGCCTATCTGAAGAAACTCATATGGTCCCGCTTGACGAAATTGAGGTGAATGAAGATCTCCATTTCGTCGAGGAACCAATTGAAATTATGGATAGAGAAGTGAAACGAACGAAACAAAGCTGCATTCCCATTGTGAAAGTTCGATGGAGCTCCAAAAGAGGACCGGAATTCACCTGGGAGCGCGAAGACCAAATGATGCAAAAGTACCCCCATATCTTCTTGAACGAATTTCGGGACGAAATTCCCTCTAACGGGGGGATGATGTCACAACTAGCAATTTAGGGTTTAAGATGTGAAGCTTGTTCACAACAAATTCCTCTATGTAACCTTGTTGCATCTTATTAATAAAATTCAAACTACAATGTTATTTAAATTCATACGTGCATACATTGTGATTTAAGTTGAAATAGCCTCATGCAAGCCCAAAAAATCGATCCAATAGCTAAGCGCAATCAATTTTGGGCCTTGGTCCAAGAATTCTAGGCCCAACACCCTATTGGGCCGAAAACTCTTTCTTGGGCCCTATTGTGCTGAAAACTCTTGCTTGGGCCTTATTGGGCCAAAAAATTCTTTTGGGGCTTCCATTGGGCCGAAAACCATTTTATTGGATCAAATAAAACCCAAAAGACCCATACACACATCAAAAACCACAAACTCTTTATGGAATTAGGGTGTTTTCGGCCACCCTAAAACCGAAAACCCATTTAAAAGCCTTGAGGACCGAAAACCCTATAGGTTTGGTTGGGGTTGAACAAAAAAGGAAAAAGGAATGGGAAAATGGGTTTCCACCTCATTTTTGTTTAACATACAACAAGGCCATAAACCAACATACTCCCATGCAAACTTCCCATAAAAAAGTCAACCATCTTCTCCCCCTCCTCTCTTATACATCGGCCGATCCTCCCCCCCCCCCACCATACCCTCACCAAAATCTTTTTTTACACCATTTTACTCTCAAGAACCCTCCAAATCCTCTCTCAAAAATCTGTGTTTATGTGCCATCTTCAAGGGACCTCCTTCAAAAACTCATAAAAACGTGGTAAGTGATCTTGTAAACTTCAAGTATTTTTGCATCACTTCAAACTAAAACTCCATGTTTACACACACCATTTCGTGTGTAGCTTCTTAGAGCACCACTATTTCGAGTAACCTCCAAAATACACAAGTCAAGGCTCAACAACTTCTTTCTTCTTCTTCTACCACTCGAAATCTTCAAGGTGAGCTTCATACCCCACTATTTTCGTGTTTTTCATACTTTTTTTTGGGGGGGGGGGATACAAGTCAAATCTCGTTTAACCATTGGATAATTGCATGTACCGATGTGTTATGTGTTTAACCTTTGGGTAGTAGCATGCATCTTAGTTGTGTGTTGAAAATAGAACTGGTACTTGTGTAAAAAGGATTTATCTAATGTTTCTCCATATAAATCGTGAGTAATTTGCTTGATTACATATATATTGCATGAAAACTTGTGGATATGGGTTGTACATTCAAAAATGGCAAAATATGAGTGTTGTGCTCAAACATGTTAACTTTTGGGACATATATTTTTAACACTTATACCTACACAAATATTTATATAAAATAAATTTCAAAGTTATTTTATGTGTTTTGTAGAAAACGTGACATGTTAGAGTCACAACAAAATAGAATATTTTGAGTTGCAAAACCCTCAAATCAATTTTTGTGTGTTAAACAAACTACAAAAACTTGATATTTTGCTAATATTAATTTTATTAGTAAAATATTCTTAACTATGTTGTCACTATTTTTGGATGGCTTAAAACTTGAGAAATTATGCTATATGACATGTTAATTAAGGATTATTTGCAAAAAGTGTTATAATTAATCTAACAGAAATAATATACACAACAGAAGTTATGACAGAAAAATTTGCGTGTCACGACCTGTTTATCATAAGGATTTTAAAGTATGAGAAATAAACTGTATGTCATAAAGCTGTAAAATGCGTGTCATAATCTGAATAATATGAAACCTACCAACCGCGTGTCATAAAACATCTGTCACAAGTTTGCAATAGAAAAATTATTTCCTTATCCGAAAAAGGAACTCAAAGTTCGCATAAATTTGTTAAGGCCCTTGTGAGACTTTCCTTCACCGTACCTACCTAGCGTACACCGTAAGTCCTGTAGTTATAACCAGAGTCTCCTGGAGGGAGAGCGAGGTAATTGTGTATAAATCTATACAGGGTTGACACCCCCACACCTATGTTGTTCGCTACAGCTAGACGAGGCCAGTCTAAGGTGACAAATATCTTACCGAAACCGACGCCTGAAGAACGTCATGACAGGCATATCAGTCACATCAAACATGGTTATAATGACTCACGTAGGGATTAATAACATTATTTTGGATTTACGGAGAATATACACTTCACTAGTTTTATAGAATACAAAACTACGCTTCACTTTTTTTGTACATCATTATCACCACTCCAGTCTTAGGGTTTTAAGACTACAATTTTTCATACAACAGAAAATATGGGGTTTTATGGGAACACACACTCTTTTCAATTACAAACAAAAGAAAATAAAGGACATACATGCAATTATTCACAGTTTTAGAACGAGACTTACAAACCATTTTTCATAGAAAATATCGGATTTTCTGGAGTCTTACAAATTATTATAGACAAAGATATTACAAACCATTTCATACAAATATGCTTATGAACTCACCAACATTCAATGTTGACGATTTTCAAATGACTTGTATTCTCAGGAAACCAGTAAGCAGATACCTAAGAACCGGATTCGCTGCATTTTGAAACTTCATACTTTATGTCATTTTTGTGTAATTTCATGAACAGATACAATATGTAAACAATGTAAGTGTATTATCTCAATGTATGTTGTTGGTTGCTATGCTTGTTATCTCAATGTATGTTGTTGGTTGCTATGCTTCATTCATATTTAATTGTTGTGATACTATACAATGACATCATCCGCCCCCAAACGTTTCCGCCGTCCTGGTTCGGGGGTGTGACAAAAAGTTACTTCACGTAGCGTTTATCAAAACGCTACCCGCTACCAGTTAGTTTTTGCCGAACACGCCCCCTTTGTGTATAAATTGAATTACTATTTTATAATTTAATGTGTATGAAATTAAATCAATATTAACAACTCTTTTGTATGTATATTATATACAATTAAATTAGTATTCACAATTGTTTTGTGCGCAACTCTTATAGTATTTGAAGCTCCACCTATTAAGCCTGTCGAAAATACCCGAAACCCGTTCTACCCACCCGACCCGTTCCGAATTCGGGTAGAATGGGTCGGATAGAACGGATAACGGGTATGAACATTCGGGTAATAGGTTAACCCGATAATAATATAGGTCGGGTTTTAGGTATGAATATTTATTTTCGGGTATACCCGAATTCGTTTTTTTAAATAATACCAAATATACAATGCAGTCACGTACGCACACTTCAAATAAAACAAAACCCTTCGTTTCCTTCTTATGAACGACGACTCGACAGTCGACGCAAACTTGCAAAGGGAATACAACGCTGAAGCTGAAGTCCTGAACCGTCATCACAATTCTCAGTTTCTCACTATCGCACGGAATATAATTAAAAAAAGTACATAACATATTATAATGATTTGTATTGTTATTATATATGCACTTGTTAATTATATGAAATTTATCAATAAATGTCATTTAAGAAATTTTCGGGTATACCCGATAATTACCCGACCCGACCTCAAACCCGAAAATCCGAATTATAATATAGGTCGGGTATCGGGTATTATTTTCTTAAGGAAATACTCGTTCTACCCGACCAGTTCTACCCGAAAATTTTACCCGTTCGACACCCGATACCCGTTCGGGTATTTCCTTAAGAAAATATATTTTTAATTTTAAACATAAATATATTTTTAATTTTAAACCCTAATTGTCAAAAACGAAATGTTCACTTAAAGTAAACAATTTTTCGTCCGCTGCATTGCGCGGGTTTCCTGCTAGGTTCAAATGTCAATTATAAATGTAGAAACATAAATAACATATATATTATAAGCATTTCAAATGAGAACAAATTTTCAAATACCTAATGTTTTAAACTCATTAAAACATCTTTTTAGATTGAGGATATAACTATAAGAATAGATTACAGAAATGCCCCATTCCTCTAACTCTGTTAAATGATTATGTCATCCTTTTTACATATTTGAGCAATGGAACGAACTACATCTTTTCCTTAATTTCAAGATTGTAGCTTTAATTTGTAGAAGCCACCATCTTACAAAGTCACCATCTTCACAATCACAAGGGAGAAAAACGAACAACAAAATACCCCATACCATTGATGTATTTTTCTTGTAATAATGAAATAATAAAATAGGTGTAATATGGTCATTTTATATGCGTTTAATGATAAAATTTAACAAACACGGAACATCGTTATAACAAATCATAGCCATAAAGTTGAGATAGAGAGAAAAAAATCAAAGACTTATAACATGTCAGTAGTTGGAAAATGAGTTTATCTTTCAAAAAGTTGAAAGTTTAATTCTCATTGAAAATATTACTAGTTTAGTTCAAGATCAGATTAGAAGATGTTAGAATCACAGGGACCATTTATGTAGTTTAATTTAACTATAATTGCTTTCTTTAAGCTTTCATAAACAAGCTAACATGATTGGCTTTCGATGCAAATAAAGGTTGTTCTTGCTAAAACATAATACTTTACAAAATAATTTTTTTTTAAAAAAGAATGAATTCTTTTTCGAATTTATATATGTCTTTGGGCCCACTAATACCACCAAACCCTAAGCTAAGTTGTCAAGATCCTATAAAACCTTACAGACATTCTTGAGGTTTACACAGTGTGTCAAGACGTGTCATCACTCATCACTCCACCATGGATTCTTCCACGACCCCTCTCATTGGTCGGGACAACCTAGAACGCCGGCCAGATTCCACCAGATCTCCGGCAGATGGATCTTCCATCGTCAAGGTCCTCGCCGGTTTCTTTGTCTCCATGCTAGTCCTTTCATCTATGGTTGCTGTAATGTACAACCAATTACAAAGACCACAAGGTGGCCGGCAGTCCACTACCGCCACAACCACGTCATCATCGCCGGGAATTGAGGTGAAACCGTCGTCAAGAGGGGTGGGGTGGCCGGAGAAGATGGTTGGTGGTGATGATAGCATAGAATGGCAACGATCTGCTTACCATTTTCAACCCGATAAGAATTTCATCAGCGGGATGTATCCTTTAATGGTTACGTTGTTGATATAAAGAGTTAAATAACATTATAAGTTTTTATTTAATTTGTTTTGGAATTTGGAAATGATGATTTTCTAATGTATGTTTTGTATTTGTTTATGTTGGGTTTTGGCGTATTTTTGATGGATTTTGCTGATCTTCACTTCAGACCCTGATGGTACGTATTCATTTAATGAATTATTATCATTTCATTTGACATGTGCATTAGTAAAAAAAGTTGTTAATCGTTAATTATTTGAAATGCTTGTGAGAAATATACAAAAATAAAAAAAGTTGTGTGCAATTAAAATAGATGTTATAGGTATCATGTACCACGGTTAATAAAAGAATAAGAGGTTGTTAAAAATGCTTTTTACTTGGCTCTAATAAAATATTTTATTAAGTCTTTCTTGGTCAAATTCTAACTCGGTCATTACTTTTTTATATGCCTCTTATCCGATTAAATTTAAAGTTTGTAACAGATTTAATCAAACAACTATCAAATAACTATTAAAACAACTATTAAGTAGCTCATATTTCAACTTTATAGATTTAAATAAAGATTACAACTATTAGAAAAATTGTATATATAAAAAAAAAGTAATTGTTGCATTGGTTTAGGACTTGAAATATTAGATAATTTTAGGTTTTATTAAAATTTTAGTTTATTAATAAAAAAGTTTGGTAAAGTAGTTTTCGTTGAGACTTTTTTTTGACTTTTTCATTGACCTGCGTATTGACTTGGGAAAAGCGATCAGAGGTTTAATATTTCAAATATGATTTCGTGGATTCGTATTAAAAAAATTATTTATTCATGTTTCGAATATTAATATTTTTTTAATTAATATATGTACTTCATGCATAAATAGTTACACAATTATCACATTATTAGAATAAATATTGTATCGAAGTGTCACATGACACTATATAATAATTAACTTAAATAACGTGATTATTATACTTTTGGCATATGTATTCTCACATTTTGCTTGAAAACCCTCATATAATCTCAATACATACAAAACCCATATTAAACACAAAAATCCTATATTAAAATATTCGACTATTAAAATCTTCTCATTATTTCAAAACCTCAACATCAAAACATCAAACTAACACAACCAACTATAGACATACTATTGATGTAAACCATAGACTATCCAATGAAAAAAGGATTTTCATAGGCATAAAATTAATATACCTATAATAAATAATAATAATTTTCTTACATTTGTCTTTAATATAAAAAAACAAGAATGTTAATATATTATTAAAAAATAAAAGGGTTATTTCCATAAAAGACCTTATATTTTGACTTTTTTTCTTTTTAGACCTAGAACTTTTTTATTTTCCGAAAAAGACCCAATTTTTACCTATTACTTGTTGTTTTAGACCTTAGTAGGTCACCAACAGGTAAATTAGGTTTTTTTTCTTCATAAAAGACCATATATTTTATAGTTTTTTCCATTTTAGACCTAAAATATTATTTTTTTTAAATAAACTCAACTTTAAAATTGGTTATAATCTTCAAGACCAAATATATAAGGTATTTCTTGACTACACCGAAAAAAAAATATACATGTATAAACTAAAAAATGTTATCTAATCTATTATCTTTTGAGCGAATATAACCTAGAAGAATTGCAAAATTTTATTTTTGTGTAAAAGAATATGATTCTTAAAGTTAAAAATGTCAATTTTTTATATAATTTGGGGTAATATTTGGATTCATTGGGTTTTGAATTTTCAGGTCCATTATACCACATGGGTTGGTACCATTTATTCTACCAGTACAACCCGGATTCCGCCATTTGGGGCAACATCACATGGGGCCACGCCGTCTCCAAAGACCTAATCAACTGGTTCCACCTCCCTCTCGCCATGGTTCCCGATCACTGGTACGACATCCAAGGCGTCATGACCGGCTCCGCCACCATCCTCCCCGACGGCCAAATCATCATGCTCTACAGCGGCAACGCCTTCGATCTCTCCCAGCTTCAATGTCTCGCATACCCTCTCAACTCCTCCGACCCTCTCCTCCTCGACTGGATCAAATACGCCGACAACCCCATCCTCTTCCCCCCTCCCGGCGTCGGCCTCAAAGATTTCCGGCACCCTTCCACTCTCTGGATAGGACCCGACGGCAAGTACCGAATGGTGATGGGATCGAAACATAATGATACGATCGGGTGTGCTCTCGTCTACCACACCACCAATTTCACACACTTTGAGTTGTTGGATGATGTTTTGCATTCGGTTGCGGGTACGGGTATGTGGGAGTGTGTGGATCTTTACCCGGTATCCACTACCGATACGAATGGGTTGGATATGTCGGATTATGGGTCGGGTTCGGGTGGTGTTAAGTATGTGTTGAAGCAAAGTGGAGATGAAGATAGACATGATTGGTATGCGATCGGGTCGTATGACCCGGTGAAGGATAAATGGTACCCGGATGATCCGGAGATGGATGTGGGTATCGGATTGAGATATGATTATGGGAAGTTTTATGCTTCGAAGACGTTTTATGACCCGAGTAAGAAGAGACGGGTTCTATGGGGATATGTTGGTGAAACGGATCCTCAAAAAGATGACCTCATTAAAGGATGGGCAAATATTTTGGTATATAAACAATTTAATAATATATACACTCTCCAAACAATTAAATAAATACGATAAAGGTACATTTCAACATCTAGACAACGTGACACTTTTATCACTTTAGATGGATGATATGATAATTAGATGCTACTAAAATCCATTAAAGTAAATATATTAATTATCCATTAAAGTAAATATATAATTATAAAGTATAATTTTGTATTTTAAAAGAGATGCGATTATTTCTTTTTAAAATTTATTTACAGAACGTTCCAAGATCCGTGGTATTGGACACTAAGACTCAAACCAATCTAATTCAATGGCCGGTTGAGGAAGTCGAAACTTTGAGGTCTAAAAAGCACAACGAATTTAAAGACGTCGAGTTGCAGCCTGGATCACTCATACCACTTGATATAGGTTCCGCCACACAGGTATTTATACCAACTATTTTTATTTTATCTATATCCCATGTGGATTGGCCTCCTTGAAAACACCAGCCAGTATTGGGCCATTGTGTAACTAGTTTACAGTGTAGGCCAAGTGGCCAGCTCAGGGTTAGTGGAAGAATAACTTTTTTTTATGTAGTTAACGGTGATATGAACTGGTAATTTATTTGACAAATATTATAGTTGGATATAAGTGCTTCATTCGAGGTAGACAGTATGATGTTGGGTGCAACCCTAGAAGCCGATGTTTTGTTCAACTGCACCACAAGCAATGGTTCATCCGCAAGGGGAGTTTTGGGACCGTTTGGGCTCGTGGTCCTAGCCGATGCATCACTAACCGAGCAAACTCCAGTGTATTTCTACATTGCAAAAAACATTGATGGCACCTCGAGAACTTATTTTTGTGCTGATGAATCAAGGTTGCTATTATCTTCTTTTGCTTCTTCCATTTTTGCCCTTATTTAGTTTCCTAAACAATTTATGGAATTTAATTTTGATGTAGATCATCAAAGCTTTTAGATGTGGGCAAAATGGTGTATGGAAGTAGTGTTCCTGTCCTTCATGGTGAAAACTACAACATGAGGTTATTGGTACGTGACTTCTCTAAAACTAGGGTTTATAAAAGATAGCCATAAATTACATTTTTGGTCCCCGAATTGATTTTTTTTTTCAATTTTAGCTCCAAAAAGTTTTCTCTTGCAACTTTAGTCCCAAAAAATTCTATTTGAGGTTCTTGAAACGTTCTTTTTTGTTTTTTTTTTTTTGTCTTGGTTTGTAATAAAATGACTGTTTTACAAATTTGCCCTCAATGCAGGTGGATCATTCAATAGTAGAAAGCTTTGCACAAGGAGGAAGAACAGTGATAACATCAAGAGTGTATCCTACAAAGGCAATCTATGAATCAGCCAAAGTATTCTTGTTCAACAATGCAACTGGCATCAATGTTAAGGCCTCACTCAAGATTTGGAAGATGGGTGGGGCACAATTAAACCCTTTTTCCCTCTTCAAATAGGTTCAGTTTTGTGCATTCATTGTGTTTCACTAGGGGCATTTTGGTCATTTCCTATGCCTATTGTAGTAGGTGTAAGCTTATAAGTTACAAATCCCACTCATTCATGTTTTTGTAAGTTGTAACACCCCAAAACTCAAAATCATGATTAAAGTTATTGGTAGGTCATAACTCATAACTAATAAATTAAGACAGATTTTATAAAGAAAGAAAGAAATAACAAATTGATATGGAAGTTGAGGAAATTGTTGTTCAATTTACAAAAAACAACAGTTAAAAAGTTTTCAATCCTTTCATTCGGGATTAAAGACTTTACCTCTTTTGAAACAGTTACTTTTGTCATATCAGCTTTCCACTTGATACCCTTATCTTCATTCCTCCTCTAAAACATATTCTTGATTTAAATCTATCAGTAATCGATTCTCTATACGTGAAGAATGTGATGATGAATCATCAGAAACTCTTTCTGATACCAATGACTCGTTTGATAATCTGTGAGATGCTATTGACTCATTGGAAATAAAACTTGGAGGTTGACCTGTAAATTGCATAATCTGCTCAATTGAAGAACTTTCTTCTTCTTTTTTGGAGAAATCTTGATTGTGTTTAGAAGTGCGTTTTTTCAGGTGTGTGTGCCAATGGTTTTTGATCTCGTTATCACTTCTTCCTGGTAATTTTGCAGCTATGGCTGACCACCTGCAAAAATATCACAAAATTTTATATAAGCATAGCCAAAACAATACATAAATGGTGGATTATGTTAGACATTTATGATTTATCTCATAGCAAACTAAATTTGGAAGATAAAGATGTAAAAATTGAAGAGATGCCCCCAATTCAGAAAGATGAAAATGAGATTGGATCACATACTTGTTTCCCATTTCTCTATGATACTTGTCGATGAGATCTTCTTCTTCTTTACTAAAATTTCCACGTTTCACAGTTGGTCGAAGATAATTCATCCAACGCAATCTACAACTCTTGCCACATCTAGCTAACCCTAGTTTTTTTTTAAAGAAATCAAACAGAAATTTAATGATTATCTCGAACTAGCGATTAAAAGCTTGTGAATTTCGCTATTGACAAAAGATAAAATGAGGAACAGAAACGATAATATCAGATTGAAACCAGAAACGAAAATTCTCCCCATTTTCCTCGAAATATACAATTCGCAATTGAGAACAAAGACGCAATTCAAAAGAAGTGCAATTCGGTGAAATTCAAACTGATATGAAGACCAGGAATGGATGAAAAACCGATGGTACCTGCATATTTGGGAAGTTCACGCCAATTCCAATGGCCATAACGTTGAACGTAAGCTCGTAATTGGTTATCTTCTTCTTCGCTCCAAGCTCCTTTCTTGATACCATTTTTGTCAACGCAAGGTGCTCTCACCATTGTTGTTCTTCAGATCTCTCTTTGACTCGCTTCTGTTTCTCTCTCTCTGACACTGTTTCTCTCTCCTCAGCTGCCATGGTGATGAGTCCAAAGTCTAAAGGTTAGTTAGCAATCAACATCCATTATTTTAATAGGACATTTACAGTCTAACTACCGCATTAGCGTTACAAACTCATATAGCCCCCCTTTACTTTTTTAAATCGACAGTTTCAGTCCTTGTTTTTGGAAACATGTCTCGGCTATCCTTTACCAACTTCTAGATCCCTATGAATAGAACATATGTTTAAGCTCAAAACTCAATTACAAATAAAACTTTAGTTCTTTGGCTTTTATTGACCAACATACATGGAACATTTCTTATGAAAATAGATGGCTTTTATTGACCAACATACATAAAATACAATGATTAAACAGTAAAAAATCTCAAAATATATCTTATGTTCTTTGATTTTCTCTTAATTAATCACTAAATCCACGATAATTTCAATTCAAAAGAATCTTTTGTGTTTATAGAATGTAAACTTGTTATTTTATTTATGGTTTGATGAGAACATCTTATTAAGGATAAGATACATAAAATGTTTATTAACAATATAAATGAAGAAGACTTATGGACCAGAAACAATTAAAAAATGTCATGATAATTATTATGTAACATTTATCTAAATTTGGATTGATTCTAATTGCATTTCCTAAAATGCAACTACTCGCTTGATGTTTTAGACCGGTGGGAGTGGCCGCGGTTTTGCCACCTCAGCCGCGCACACCGCCACCTGACCGTTGTCTCCTGCGGTTTAGGCCGTGGTGCGGCCCTTCAAAGTCGTGCAATCTGATTGGTTGGGGAGGAAAGGGTCAAATATTCGACCGTTGAATTTTTTTTTTCCCTATAAATACACATACATTTTATTTTATTTTTCAAACAAAACAAACCCTTCTCTCTCTAATTTATTAAAAAAAATTCACTAATTTAGTTATTTTATTTGTGTTTTTTTAAGTTTCTAGGATTATTTTAATGTCATGTTTTTTTATTATTTTTTTCGTAATGCAATGTAATGTTTTTTTTAATTTTCATGTAATGAAAAATTATGTTTTTTTTATTAAAAAAGAAGTTTTATTAAATTAAAATAGTTAAATAAAAAAGAAAATAAAAGTGTGGCACCACTTCCTTTGTGTGGCAAAAAACCACACTTGTGTGGTAAAAAATAACGTGGCGTACATGTGACGGTAAAGAGAATACGGTTTCGGTGGCACCACTCCCTCAAGCCTTATTAACAAGCAGATACCTTATTGCCGGTAGGCAAGCAAGGGAATGAATGATCCTCTTTTGGCATTTGCTTGTTCACTTTGGTCCATGGCAACCGCAACTTTTGACTCGATTTTGGTGTGCGTTCCAATAATAAAAGTAATCATCCTTTTTATGATAAAATAATTTTATGATAAAATAAGCTAAAAAAATTTCTTTTCTAATAATGATAGACGTAGTATATGTTTTACTTAGATATTATTTAAATAATAAAAAAATATATTAAATTACAGAAATGTTGTTGTGGTTGTCAAAATTTTCCACTCCCGGTTCAAAAGAAATTTCTAACTATTCCGACCTTCAATTTGGCAAGTGTTTTGGTTTTAGTCCCTATGGTTTTCATTTTTTTTATATGTTAGCATCATAGTTATATTATATATTGGGCAAACCATTTCGTATTATCTTTTATATGTCAGCCCGGTAGTAGAGCTTAAGAGTCGATGTAGTGATATTACCTTTGAGATTATTCTTTGAGGTCTCAATAATAGCTTTAGCAATCAATATTTCTTTAAATTACATAATGGTTTTTGATAGCCAAAGTTTGGTGGTTGATGAATATGTTCAAGATACATATAAACATTATGCTTACTGCATCAGAGTGAGTAGTTAGAGTTTCAATCATCCTATATCGGTATTGTAGTTGACGTGATAAGTCACTTACATGGCTTACTATCCTAATGGTGATAACGGACCGATTAGTTACTTAGAGAAGGGTGAGAGAATATAAGTTTTATGATACTTGTGAGTATCGCTTGATACGAGAAAGAATACTTATGTGTGAATATGAGACTAGAGAAAAGTCTCTTATAGATTTAAAATGAGATAATAATCTGAGAGTATGAGGTTGAGTTACCTCATTATTCTAGCGAGATTCCAAGGATGAAATCTTTTTAAGGAATGGAGACTTTTGTGACGCCTACTTTTATGACCGTTATTATAACGAGAGATGTAACTCGTAGATGAGACAAGTGAGATGCTACGCAACACATTGCTAAAGAGAATGGTGATGATAAGTTGATGAAAATACTCTAAGTATGGGAAGGTAACGTACTTTGAGAACGCGACACGTGGGTGAAGAGGAACACGACGCATGACATAGTAGAGTGCTATATTTAAAAAGGTAGAGAAGGACGCAGCGCATAGACATGTTGTACGTTAGGTGAAAGAGAGCGAACCCATGTAACTAAAAAGAGGATGTGACGCGTCCAAGAGCTGAATGTGAGCAGAGAAATGGGGTGTGAAGGCTTTCACTCTAAGATAGAAACCTCAATCATGGAGAACATCATGGGGTTAATCTTCTATGCTTAAATTATGAGTGAGCTTCATACTCTCTTTTAATAGTTTTGATGTTATAGTTGGATTAGAAGAGAGTTTTATGAACCCTAAACTCCATATCTTCATGTGGTATGAAAAACATGAGGATGGTGATGTTGTAGGTTTAGCCATTTTAAGTATATGTTGAAACCATAGGAAATTTAGAAAAAGGGTGATAAAAACTACTTTGGTGAAATTGTTTAAAAAGTAAAATTGAGCTTATATCTTAATCAATTGAGAGGTATAGACGAGTTATATCTGGAGTATAATTGATTTTGACATAAAAAGTTGATTAGATGATTAAATCATGGATAAATGACTTGTAAATTTAGTTATGATTTCTTAAATTTAGTTATGATTTCAATAGGTGAAATGAAATTTAAGCTTATGTCTTAATAGGTTAAGACACCTAGATAAGTAATCCATGGAGGATAATGAGTTTAGCTACATAGTTAATTATTATGCATTAGATGAAAATGTTGAATCAAACTCATAAAATAGTTGGGAAAGGAACGGACTACAAGCTTCGCGCTTTGCCTTTATTGTATTTGGACTCTTTTACACTATATGATGCTCTCTCTGCGCACTTAGCTTTCTTTGCTCTTTGTTATCTTGCTATTGTCGGCTTCCTTCTCTTTAAGACTAGGACCACGGGCTCTTCCAGAGTGAACACGTCTTATTTCATTTTTAGAAAGATGATATTTTTCATTCCGTAAGGGGAAAAGGTATCTTCTTCCTCTTCGGTCGATCCTGAAGCAGATCTTTTTTCGACTTCCTTCCTTGGATTTGAAAAAAAGCAAAGTCCTTACTTTGACTTACCCGAATCAAGTCAAGGCGATGAAGCATGCTCAAGGCCCATTTTCGTCTAGTTTCCATAGCCTCAAAGTAGGATGCTGATCATTTTTTTTTGTGAATTTCCTTATTTCTCTCATTTTCTTACTTTTGTCAATAATTTCTTCATTATACATATTTTGCCGTTTACGAGCATATTATTTACATATCAAATATTCATTCCATTAAAGTTTTAATATATAAGTCCTTAGTATGCATGTAAAGTAACTTGACTTTATACTTAAGGTTTTATACCACCTCATGTTTCCAACCCATCACCACTCAAACATTCGCTATTTCATTTTTCTTATTTTGCTAACAACTCAAATGTCATCATTTTTCTTATTTTGCTAACAACTCAAATGCCATAAAACCTGTTACTATTAAACAAGTTGTGTTAGTCCATTTAAATTAAACGATTTTTCGATAAATACCCGAAATTTCTATAGGGGGTCTTGACAAAATGTGATTTCTAAGTAAAACATGACATTTTCATAGGGATTTTGGTATTATTGTTAAAATGATATCTCTCAGTAAACTATGATAATTTCTCAATAAAATATGATGTTTCAACAATTGTTCAACCTCTTAGTAAAATATGACAATTTCTTAGGAAAATGTCACATTTCCGTAGAAACACCCTCGAAAATGTCATATCTTATTGAGAAATTGTCGTATTTTCACATGAACATTGCACAGATGTTATTTCTCATTAAGAAATAATATTTTTGTAGGTGCTCATGCAAAAATGTTACAACTACAAATCAATACTAAAATAAACTAAAACATTATAAATGAACTTAAAATCAATACCTTTAAATATGAACTTTGAACTCACATTTTTTTTATTGAGCTTCTTATATATGTGTTTGAGAATGGTGTGTGAGAATTTTATTTTAGAAATAAAGTTAAAATATAATAATTTAGATTTTTACATGGAAAAACTTTGAACCCCATATTTTTGTAGAGACCTCTGCAAAAATACAAAAATCCCAACTAAAATGGCAAAAACCAACATAATTTTGTGTTTTCGCAAGGATATAATGGTATTTTCATATGTCTCTAGGAAAATGAAAGCTATTTGGATTAAATGTTTAATTTTTTCTTAAATCTTAAAAATTACTGAGATTAGCCATTAAAAAAAATCTCGTATTTTTATTATTTCTGGCCAAATTTAATTTTTTTTCTTGTACTTTTATTATTTCTCGCAATTTGTGGATTAATATGTTAGTTCGTTAAATAAAGGGAAAATGACTAATAAGGGTAAACAGTTTAAAAAACATTTTAAAAATACCATCCAAGTTTTGTCTGTTTAAAAAATATCATCCAACTAAAGGCTTTGTACAAAAAAACACAAACAAAGTACACCTTTTGTTCAAATCTCACCTTGTGGTAACCTGATGATTCAGGTGAACGGATGAGTTGGCAAATCATTTTGAAATTTTCTGATTGGTTTTTTGTGAATTTGAATTTGGGATGATGAATTTGAATTCTAGGTGGCAATTGAAATATGAACAAAAAACTGTACATAGGGGTATTTTAGTCACAACCTGTTAACAGTAAAAAAAAAATTGTCCATCAAAAGTAGGCAGACACTGTCCCATTTTATTCAGAAACTTTTAATGATAAAAAAATATGTGTTTTTTTACTGTTAATATCTGTTAATTTTAACCGAAAAAACTTTACTTTCAATTTGAACATAAAAAAACTGCATACACTGTCCCATTTTATTCAGAAACTGAAATATGAACAAAAAAAAGGTGGAATGCTGGAAATAGCATGGCAATTTGGTCAGATTCATGACAAATTGCAGGGGTAAAATAGTCATCAGTGGCATAATTGTCATTTACCTACTGTAATGCCCTTTATCTGTTTTTCATTTTTATATTAAGCCATTATAGCAGTGTACTCTTAAGTTCTCAAATTACATTGTTGTTATAACAATAAATGGAAGAAAGATGCTATACTAAACACAAATGGGACAAAATAAGACAAAAGGGCATAAATGTCATTTTATATTAACTTATTGTACTTTGAACAATATATTCAATTATAGCATTGTACTCTCGAATTCTCAATTTACATTGCACAATATTTCAATTATAGCTTTTTACTGTGATGTTTCTTCTTGTACATAAATCAAGAAGTTGTTTAGCAACAGCAGCAGCCATGATCTTGGCAGCACCAATAGTTGTACTCTGAACTCAAAACTTTTTATACTAAACCATTCATTAAAGGGACACAAATTCAATTGAAAAAATGGCATAATTGTACTCTGAAACGTTGTTACTTAAATTTTTTTCATTCAAAACTTTATATTAAGCCATTCAGAATGTATACAGGCCTCTCAAAAACCACAGACCTCTAATTTCAAACATTTTGACAATGTGAAAAGTAATATACAAGCAATATAATTCTAATTTCATTTATTGCATTAGACCTCTCAAATCAATACATGGACAATCTTGAGTAATACTGGGAAGTAACAATAGGGGCAATTTGGTCTTAATAACAGCAGAACCCGCAAACATTGGAAATTTGGTCTTAAATGCAGCATAAATCGACCGACTGTAAAATCTGATTTCACTAAATGAGGGTTGACCGAACCCTAGACAGCTTTGTGCGCTTCTGTTCTTCACTCCATCCGATCAAGTCGGAGATGATTGATTTGTATCTCTTAATCCACGTAAGACGTTCCTAATGCCATGTCATCTTTTATTTTCCATTCATTAACTTTTTGCAGGTAACATTTTTCACCTTACCTGCAGATGTCGGTCACAAAATTTTTATGAATACTTGGTTGGTGTTTTTTATACAAAGCTTTTAGTTGGATGGTCTCTTTTAAATAAAGAAAACTTTAAGGTGTTTTTCAAACGTTTTTGAAACATTCCTACCCTTATAAGTCATTTTCCCTTAAATAAAAAATAAACACATAACTGGTTTTTAGCATGTAGATGATGTTTATTGAAATAAATTGTCGCTTAAAAATAAGTAAAATAACTGACACGTGGGTTGTTTTTCTGCCTAAAAAGTCATTATCGCAATAGAAGATTAGATGGTTTCAATTTTTTAATTAAGGTTTATCCAAATGTTCAACCTTAGAAGCATATAGTACAACACACGTATTAAGAGGTTCTTCACTTCTTCTACGTTTCCTCATTTTGAACGAATATTCTCACGAGTTCATCTGGAAATGACTACACAAATCCACTAGAAAGTCCACTCCAACATAATCCATAGCCTCAGATTAAGGAACTTAAATATTGTAAGATTGCGATTTGCAAATCATCGCAACTGGCTATGGACTACAAGACAGTTGTTGTATTAGCAATTGTGTTTCTATCGATGGTATCATCAGCTCGAGTGGTGCCATTGCCGATCATTGAGAAACCAGATGGTGTTGTCAATCTTTTTGATAATTCAAAGTACGGATTGCTTCAGCTCAGTAATGGGTTGGCTCAGACTCCTCAGATGGGGTAATTTATTCGATATTTGTAGTGATTGACAGTGTTTTTATACTTTAAATTCGATTTTGATTCTTGGAGCTGATCTCGTTTCATGAATGAGTGACTTTGAGCAGATGGAATAGCTGGAATTTCTTTGCTTGCAACATAAACGAGACTCTAATTAAGGAAACAGGTTGATTTTGTTTTCCATTTTGTGAGGGGACTTGTGATTTTGATTTTTTGGGAATTAGAATTGATTTCATTTGACGTAATTGATTCAATTTCTTAATCTATTTGGCAGCTGATGCACTTATCTCGTCTGGCTTGGCTGATTTGGGCTATAATTATGTCAACATTGGTACTCCTTCAAGTGTTCTTACTTATGTTATTAATGGTGGTTGAGTCTGATATCTTATCCCTAAACACAGATGATTGTTGGGAAGCACTTACACGGGACGCAAAGGTAAGTCGAAATTCCTTTCCACTCTTCTCTCTTTCTCGTAGATTTAATTTGCATCAATGAAGGCATCTTCCATGGTTTCAGTAGAGAAAACCATCCTTAAACCTTCAATAGAAAATTCTTCATCCTACCTCAGAACTACGATTTGATAATAGCAAATTTAACCTAAATAACATCGTAATTAACATCGTAATTGCTGGTTCTACAGGGTCAATTAGTTCCTGACTCAAAAACATTTCCATCTGGGATTAAAGCTCTTGCTGATTATGTACATGGGAAGGGCCTCAAGCTTGGTATCTATTCTTCAGCAGGGTACAATAAATTCCATCTATTCTTACAATTATCCCACCAACTGTTCGATGAAATGATTCTATTAAATGTTCTAGTGTTTTCACCTGTCAAGTACGACCTGCTTCACTTTTCCATGAGAATGATGATGCAGCAACTTGGGCTTCCTGGGTAAGACCCAAAAACCCTAATTCTTTCATGTTCATCAGTCAAAATTCATGCTTCCCTCCATCTTATTTAGGGTGTTGACTACTTGAAGTATGACAACTGCTTCAATCTTGGCATCAAACCAATTGATAGATATCCACCAATGAGGGATGCTCTGAACTCAACTGGAAGGACAATCTTTTATTCCCTTTGTGAATGGTAACAACTAAAAACTCATTTCTGTAAATTTTCAAATCTTGAATCTTCTCAACATATTTCAAGAACCACTTAAACTCTTTCAGGGGTGAAGATGATCCTGCTCTATGGGCAGGAAATGTTGGAAACAGTTGGAGAACAACAGATGACATCACTGATACATGGGAAAGGTTGAAGTTTTTTGTGATAAATGTTACATGCTTAACTTAACTTAACTATGGTTGAGTTTATAGATAGCCCTTGATAGTAATTAAATAAACATTTATCTTTAATTTTTGTCTTCCAGTATGACTACTATTGCTGATTTAAATGACAAATGGGCAGCTTATGCAGGACCTGGTGGATGGAATGGTAAGTAATAAAGTAAGAAAAAATCATGTTCTCTCAACTGGTCAAACATGGTCAAACTGTAATAAATTATTTTGCATTTTTTATAGATCCTGATATGTTAGAAGTTGGTAATGGAGGCATGAGTTACTTGGAATACAGATCACATTTTAGCATATGGGCTTTGATGAAGGTGTTTTTTTTTTTACTCTTATTATCTTTTTGATTTAATTTAATGGAAAAAGCTCATGCAAAAAAAAAAAAAAATGCAGGCTCCACTTCTTGTAGGTTGTGATGTTAGAAACATGACTGCAGAAACATTTGAAATTTTAAGCAATAAGGAGGTCATTGCTGTAAATCAAGGTAATTTTTTTTTGTTTGTATTAAAAGGTTGCAATTTTCATCTTCCTTTTCTTGAAAAAAAAATTTTTTTTTTTATATTTTTTTTTTGAATTGCAGATCCACTTGGAATTCAGGGAAGAAAAGTCAAAGTTTCAGGAACAGATGATTGTCTTCAAGTTTGGGCTGGACCTTTATCTGGGACCCGTTTTGTTGTTGTTCTTTGGAACCGATGTTCAGAAGCTGAAACGATTCAAGTCTCATGGGATACACTTGGACTTGATTCCTCCATCATTGTTTCCATACGAGACTTATGGAAGGTAAGGGCATTTACGTCTTTTTACACAGTCCACAATATCAATATCTTGTTTCACCTTTTTGGGATTTTTCTCGTCAGAAAAATATTTACAATATTTTGTCCTACCGACATCAGTCAATAGGACACCACACAGGACAGTGTCAGTTCAAACGCAGTACAACCTGTTCTGTTCTGTTCTGACTGTTGACTGTATATTTGTATTTGATTTGCAGCATGAAGATGTAGTAGCGGATGCGGTTGCATCATTTGGTGTGCCAGTGGATGCTCATAGTTGTGAGATGTTTATTTTAACTCCGAAGTTGTCTCATTTTGAAGTATGAATATTTGTATCTTTTCATTTTGGGTAATGTGGGATTGTTGATATTTTGTAGTTCTTGATTCTTGTTATGTTATTGTGTTTATGGAATAAATGTTCTCACTTTTATGATAAATAAATAAAAATAAAACTTGTTGAACAAAGTAATGTAACGTCTAGTCGGTTTTAATGAAATTAAGACAAATAATTTGCCGGAGAGAGACCCCATTAGCCCACTCTAAGATAAACTTTAATAATTTTGTCGAATCCAAGTTAAGACAAATACAAGGGTTACAATGTGTTATGTTTAGTTATAATTACAGTCTGTATAAATGAAATAAAAAAAAAAAACAAAAAAAACAAAAAACAAAAAACAAAAAACATAACCATGAAAACGTGGACTACCTTCCTCCAAGAAACAAAGACCACATGAAGCAAAACAATTAAGGTTACCCAACCGCAAGATCCCCTGAATAGACAAAATTCAACAGAATCTAGCATTGAACTTAACGACAACTATAGAATATTTATCCATGAACACTTTTTGAGTTTTACAATAAAAAAAGAAAGAAATGAATATGCATAGATGTTTCAATTTTAATTAGTGAATTCCTTTCCAACAATGATCATCATCAAATAATACTTTGGTTATTAAATAATTAGACCAGCGAAAATAAATTAACATATACTAGTTAACTAAACATCTATAGATAATTTCCAAAGAACAAAAAAAAAAAAAAAAAAAAAAAAAAACAACCATAATAGATGTATCAAATGACAATAACTCCACTTTAAAGTACCTAGTGGACAATGAAACTTTGTTTGAAATATGTATAATAACACGCTTATAAATTTCACTCTATATTTTACAATATCAAGAAAACAATATGAAGTAGACATAATAAAATGTCTTAATATCTCAACATTGACTTATGTCAAAGCAGAAAAGCAATAACACTACAAACCAATTAATATCACTATGTATAATGAAAGCGGGTGCTAACTTGCAAGTTGCCACCACTGCACTTAAAATTTTCATTTCTCATATTTGAGTTTCCCATTTTTAACTTTCACACCCTTTGTGTTTCTATAACTTAAAATTGCCCCCCTTGAAATGTCTGACCAAATTGCCAACCAGATGATGCGACGTTGTAGCTAGTGATGGTTCTTCCATCGCTCGTTGTGACTTGAAAAGAAAGGCTTTGCCCGTTGAGATATGAGTTGCTTTGCCAGTTTTGCCCCCAGTTCCGTGACATCGGTTGCCACCCTGTCTTTGATCCTTTGATTGAGACTGCGTGTACATCTCCTGCACCGCCCACGTTTGTAACTAATACCAAGTTGAAGTATGAGTGACCATTGATTGTAAATCTCACTCCTCCCTTCTTCATGCAAGGCACCCTATATAAAAACATTGCAAACGAGTCAATCACATGGTTGAAAAATATGTTTACATGTTCCTTCTATCTTTTGTTCATACTTTTTTTCCTACCTATATAAGATGATGACAAGTGTACAAATTTAACATCTCAATCAAATTTAAACTAAATTAAATGACACTTGTCACCATCTAAAATAGATAGGAAGATAGTAAACATAAAAAGTAGAAAGATATTTAATTTCTCATGAACTTAATGTGGATAAAACTTAATTTTGTAAGTTATGTACAACTATTTATTATCTAATGCTTAAAAGTATACATTAATAGAAAAGGCAAGGAAAAAAGGCCTTGCCAATAAGTGAATACATTTTTACAAATTTACCCTAATTTTTATTGTCTTTCTATTTCTAAAAATACGACGTAATGTTCTAAAAAATAAATTATCTATCTAGATAACCTTTAATGCTTTGGTCCCATTAAGTTATATACCCTTTTATAACTTTAACTTTCTTATTTTTCTTTCTACACATGATCAAAGTATGAAGTAGTTACAAAAGAAAGGTTATTCATCTGGATAATATTTAATGATATAAACATTATCTTAGTTAACAAAAGCTTTCAAGTAGAAAGAAAAAAAGATACCTTTGGAATGCGACAGGCACAATACCAGCCCGATACTGTGCTATTTGCAAGAAAGCAGGCTCAGCCAAATCAAAGTGTTGGAGAGGGGGGTTGCACCAACCACCATTATCGTTAGATTGAGCAGGGTTCGGTGGACAAAAATTGGTCGCAGTGACAATTATGCTACCAGGCAAGCACCACCTAGGGTCATCATTACATCTCATTTCATAACAAGACCCACAACTCAAACCATTGTTAAAAAGAGCAGTACTCAATGCTGCAGTATTGGTACCATATCCTTGGCTATACAAATTCCCATACCCACAAGCACCCCCTATAAAAAATATGGACATCTTAAATTAGATAACAAGAAGTGAAATTGAAGTGTAGATTGTTTGAATGAAAAAGATATGTATGTAAATATATATACCCATTGTGCCCGAAGCGTCTCCTCCTCCATAAAAGGTGGCATGACCATTTTGCCAATCTCCATAAACAAGATTGAAGAAGAAGCAAATAAGTAGAGCAACAATTGTTATTTGTGAAGAAGCCATTGGAAGAGTCTTGGGAGTTTTGAGGAAATAGACCAAATGAAGATATAGTTATATAGGGGAATTGAAGTGTAGGGAGGGAAAGGTTTTGGTTATGAAAAAGTGTTTGAATGGGAAAGTGACAATTATAGCAAAGGGTGAGGCTAGTGTAATTCCCGTTAATGTTATTTAAATAATTAAATTGGAAGAGATTGGATAATAGCGAAAGATGTAATGGAACATGCACTTGTTTGTTAAACCTAAGTAGGTCCTTACAACGCACATGCATTTCCTCTACTTGTATCTTTCATTTTCCATTTAATTAATTAAGACTTGGTTTCATAATATTTTTTATTTTCATGTTTATAGTATAATAAAATAAAATAGAAATAAATAGCAGATGATGTTTACTTATATTAAAAAAAAACTGAAAACTAATTAAAAAAATCGTAAACAATAATTATATGCATAATTTTTTTTCCAGTATTAAAGTATGTTTGGCAACAAGTTTTTAATAGTTTTTAACAACTTTTATAATTTTAAATTTTTTTTGAACAAAAAAGTTTGGGTACAAGTTGATTTAAAAAAAAAACTAAAAAAAATTGTAATCCAAGAACTATTTTAAATAGTTTTTGAGAGCTTTTTGAAACTTTCAACTTTTATCTTTTTATGTTTTATGTTTTTATATATTTAAAAAAGTTATAACTATTTTATTCATACCGTCTTGCATACATACCATGAAGGGTTTGTTGTGGCCAGGTGAACATGCACCACGCGCATGACCCGGTGAGTCTCGTGGTGCAACCTTCGTTGCCCACCGTGTTTCTGACCACATTTGACCACAACTAGCGAGAAACTTTGATTTTTGGCTTTGACCATCTCCATTTCTAGCTAAAGCAAAACTAGTTTTTAAATTTTATTATTTAATTTTTTTAGATTAAAAAAATATTGTATAATAGTGGGTATATCAAGTTCATTTGATGTTTGTTTGGTAATAAGGTGATAATAACATGACATCCAACTATATTTATAATAGTGGTTAGATGAACTTATAGAAGACCTACCCCTTTGGGTTCAACCTATCATGTGGGTGTTGGCTACCCTTCAGAGTTCACCAGTCTTTGAGTGTAAGACACCCTCCTAGGTGTCATCCTAACCTCTGGTTTTCAACTTCTAACTTGATTTTATATATGATTTCATCAATTTCAAGTATATACCAAGGATTTCAATTCGAACCCACTTTAACTTAATTGATATTATATTTTCCAAGTTTAGTTTATGAGTTTAAACATGCTTCATTTTCCTTAAATTTTTTATATACATATTCTAGTCTAGGTTTATGCAAGTGTGAGCTCCACACCTCCTTTCTTGTATTATAACCATCACTTTCATTTCCCTTAAAACTTTTTATATACATATTCTAGTCTAGGTTTATGTAAGTGTGAGCTCCACGCCTCCTTTCTTGTATTATAACCATCACTTTAAATCTCATTAGCACAATATGATCTTCATATCTCAAAATGAAACATGTGAATCCATTCGAGCCACCCAACCATGATGACTCCAAAATCACCAAAAATCATTCCCCATTTTAGAGTTACCCCGATTTTACATTTTAACTTCTTAAACAAACCCGAAACATGCACATAATGAAAATATCGAAACAATTGAATTCTCATTTAGTAATTTACATATCAAATGACCGAGAATCGGAGTGTTCTTAAGAATTGAACCCTTCAACCCATTTTGACTACCTGACTATAAGTTGCATACATGTCTTCCCACTCTAGAAGTAAAATTTTGACACCATTGTAAAGCTGTATGTCCTAATCCTCTCATGATCCTATCAAAGGTCAAACCTACAACCTTTTTAAGCACAACTACACTTCACAATCACATAGGTAACTCCTTTATATCATGTACCAACGCATACATTTTCTCAAAAGGAGTTATTAATAAGAAAAGCTTCAACCTAGCCACTTGTAGAACTGAACACACACAGCTTGGGATGATTTCACATAATGTCTCCCAATCTAACAACAATGAGAAAACTAAATTGAATTTAGCCCAAAACGACTCATTCGAGAGGAATTGGGCGTCTAATCATTACAGATTAAATGGAATTTAATCCTATCCTTATTCTAGACTTGTGCACTAAGTCTTTGGCCAACCCTTTGGTAATGTGATCCGCCAAGTTTTGATGAGTTCTAACAAACTCAACTGAAATGATTACGGTCATGATTAAATCCATAATCATGCTATGTCTAACACCTAAGTGTCTAGAATTTCCATTGTAGACTTGGCTATAAGCCTTAGCTAAAGTTGCAACCTAATGGATATATGAGTTATAAGCTTAAGAATCATTGGTATTTCAAACATCAAGTTTCTTAACCACTCAACTTCCTTGCCAATAGTATCTAAAGCTATAAATTTGGATTCCATGGTTGAATTTGTTATGCATGATTGTTTATTTGATACCCAAGAAACTGTACCTCCTCCTAAAAGGAAAACCCAACCACTAGTTGAAGAATGATCTTCCAAGTAGGAAATCCAACTTCCATCCGAATAATGTTCTAAGATGGAAGGATATCCCAAATAGCTCAAGATATGATTCATAGTCCCCTTGAGATATTTTAGTACTCTATACATTGCTTTCCAATGTTAAGCACTAATATTACTAGTGTATTTGCACAACTTCCCAACAACAATAACAATGCCAGGTCTTGTGCTTGTCATGTCATACATCAAGCACCCTATGGCCTTCGAATACTCCAATTGTGAAATTGGTTTTCCATCATTTGACATATGTTTAATCTGAGGATCCATGGGAGTACTAATATGCGAACAATCACCAAAATTTAATCTTTTCAAGATTTTTTCAATATAATGAGATTGGGTCAAGGATAAGCCTTTGTTCAACCTTCAGATTCTAATACCAAGAATCATATATGCCTCCCCCATATTCTTCATAGAGAAATTTGATGAGAGCAAGGTCAAGGATAAGCCTTTGTTCAACCTTCAGATTCTAATACCAAGAATGCAGTCTTGAAATCTATTTGATGGATCACAAGGTTATGAATTGAGGCCATGGCAATCAATAATCTTATATTGGAAATTCATGTTACAGGAACATATGTATCAACATAGTAAATTCCAAACTTTTTCCTGAATTCTTGAATGACTAACCTTGCATTGAACTTTTGAATAGTTCCATCCACTTTCATCTTCTTTTTGAAGATCCTTCTACAACCTACTAGTTTTGAACCTTAGGGTAGATCGGATAACACCCAAGTGTGATTTTCAAGGATCGATGAAATTTCATCATCTACAACTTACTTCCAAAAGCTAGCATCACGAGACTCCATGACACCCTTAAAGGTTTTTGGATCATCCTCAACACTAACACAATAAAAGTGTTGTGATCCAGGTTCATCCTTTAAACCTTCAACCAAATATATTTGGTGATCAGAGTCAAGATCCTTACTAAGAATTCTATGGTTTCTTATAAGATGTACCACCCTTTCCGCTTCATCAGAAACATGATCATCAAGCTCAGACTCAACATTTAGAATTCCAAGGTCTTCACTTTAGGTTAGAGCATCAGCCTTTCGGTATCATAGTCATCTTGGCTCTCCAGGTATTTAGACCTTGTAATTGATGAAAACCTACTTTCAAAAAATATTGCATCTCAGGATTCAATCACAGAGTGAATGCCTACAGACTCATTAGGTTCTATAATATAAAACATAAAATCCATGGAATGCTTATGCATTCATTTCCTCATTCACATAAAGTCTTCATTTTAGGTTTAAGCACACAAACTACTGTGTGACAACCCCAAATTCGAAAATAACTTAGGTTTGGGACTTTCTTCAACCAAAGTTCATATCGGGATTTTCTATTCCTCTTACTAGGGACACTATTCAAGAAAAAACATGTAGTTGTCATTTCCTCACTCCAAAGCCCTTACTCAATCCTGAGTAAAGTAACATAGATTTCACCATTTTCTTGAGAACTCTATTCTTCCTTTAATCAACCCCATTTTGTTGAGGAGTGTAAGGAGCAATGGTTTCATGTATGATTCCTACTGATTCGAAATATTGAGTATTCATATACTTTCCACCTCTATTAGTCTTAATACATTTAGCAAAACTTCCTAATTGAAGTTCCACTTCGGTTTTGTAAGTTTTAAACTTTTCCAGTGCTTCATATTTTGTATGCAAAAGATACACATAACAAAACCTAGTTATGTCATCAATAAAGGTGACACCATATTTTTTGTGTCCAAGGGAAGGGGTAGAGTGGAAATCACAAAGGTCACTATGTATTAGGGCAAGGACTTCACTTTTCCTATCAACCTTTAGGAAAGGTTTCTTAGGTAGTGTTTGGTATGTGGGATAGAACTGAACAATACTGAATTGAATTGGATGGAATAGAACCGGACAGGACTGAGGAGATTGTTTGTATCTTGTTTGGCGAAACTAGGACATGACAAAATAATATATCGAAATTACTCTATTATCTTTGAAAATACACATATCACATATTATAAATTTATATATATATATATATATATATATATATATATAATATAATATAATTATATAATTATTTTTGCATATTTAATACTTTTTAACCTCCCTAGCATCACAAATATTGTAATTAGGTCTGAAACCTCCATCACCGCCCATTATCATCTTCATTTGATCTTCTTTCTTGTGACGCATCTAATATTTTCACCCAACGAATGGGTTCGGTGTCAAAAAGCAACAGAGTTGTTGTTTCCATTAATTTGCAGGTATGCAAAATAAATTAACTACGATTCTACCAAATCGTCAACAAGATGATGAACATGTTCAAGTTTAAGGGTTAAATTCCTGACTCAAGAACTTGAAATAGCTTTTAAAATTAAAGATAAGTAAGAAAAAAGTTCCTATTACAAAACCCCTCTCTTGTTAGTCGTAATGTTGAAACTGAGGGATCAATCCATCCTTAGACATTTCATGCATTCTTATAAAATGAACATGACCAACCTTGCATGCCAAAGTATAGGATCATTTTTAGAAAAACATGTAGTCATGAGGCAAGTATTATCAGTCTTATTCAATAAGTTAAGTTTGAACATCTTGTTTTCATAATAACCAA